TTAAAGGATATTTTTCAGTTTGAGTACCAACTGAAACACGTTAACTAGATCTAAAAATTTATGAATTAGCTAAGTTCTGTCCAGAACTTATACACCCTAAAAACTTGTCCCGAAGAGTTCCATCTTGAAACAGAGTTTCTTGGGGACACCCGGGGGGCCAGCGACTCAAAAACTCCATATCAAAATATCTGATCTTAACCTTCAAAATCGCATCTTCTCAAACTTTTCCGACAGCAAAGGGACCGCAAGAAATCGACAGAGTTGATTAAAATCCCTATTATAATTAAGTTTAAATAAATTTAAGGAACATTTGCTTACTTTTATCAAGTACCACAGATTGGAATCTGGCTCCGGGGCCATAAAATTGAGATGAGCTAACTTTTGATCTTAGTCTCACTTTTACAAAAGGAATATATAATGGAAAAGTGAGACTGATATCAAAAGTGAGCTCGTCTCAGTTTTATGGCCCCGGAGCCAGCTCACTTTTGATCTCAGTCTCACTTCTTGACTATATATTCCTTATGTAAAAGTGAATATGAGATCAAAAGTTAGTTTATACAAGTTTTATGACCCCGGAGCCTGTTGTACGAGTTGTTTTATCCGAACATATGAACTTGCATGATAAAATATTGAACCTTGGGTCCTGTACCATATTTAGAACATTTTTTTTCAATTCAGATTTGCATGTGACAGTTGTGATACAAGTATACAAATGTTAATTGAAAAAAAATCTAATTTTTGTATAGGACACTGATAAGCATCGTTTATTGGATTAATCTTTGGTATATGTTTTGAATACGTAGCAGTAAAAGACAATCTTTCATTGTTATAGGAATTCCCAATACTAAGAAGCCCATTAAGGCATATATAAACTATATATATATATATATATATATATATATATATATATATATATATATATATATATATATATATATATATATATATAAAGCACTAAAAATGACCAACGACACGAACAATAATAATTGTCAAATTTTCGGGACAACCTGTCCCTTCCTCAGGACAAAGAAAAAAGTTAAGAAGTCATAAAAACAAAGGAAATAGAGAAGCAAAAACAACTAGCACTACTACTAAACTACCAAACACTAAATATTTACAAGGTTACATGTTTAATTTGGAGTTTATAAACAGTTGTGAAGAAAGAAATCCGGAGCGCTATGAATTGCGTCCGGTCTATCGGGTGTACTCGGTGACACTTCACCGAGTACACCCGATAGACCGGACGCAATTCATAGCGCTCCGGATTTCTTTCTTCACAACTGTTTATAAACTCCAAATTAAACATGTAACCTTGTAAATATTTAGTGTTTGGTAGTTTAGTAGTAGTGCTAGTTGTTTTTGCTTCTCTATTTCCTTTGTTTTTATGACTTCTTAACTTTTTTCTTTGTCCTGAGGAAGGGACAGGTTGTCCCGAAAATTTGACAATTATTATTGTTCGTGTCGTTGGTCATTTTTAGTGCTTTATATAAATTTCCATCCGTGACCTTGTATCTACTTAGTAGATCCGACACTTCGGATATACAGTGTTGTTGGTTTTTAGTGCTTTATATATATATATATATATATATATATATATATATATATATATATATATATATATATATATATATATATATATATATATATATATAAGAGTTGAACGCAGAATGTATTGCGTGCGTTTGAATGAAGTATTTAAACGCAAACATGGCGTTAAAAGCGAAAAAAAAATTATTAACAATAATACATACATTGGCTCAAATTGGCTTCCGTACAATTCAAATTAACAGATTCCGAATCATTTACTAATTGGGAATAAATCAAATGACATGCATGTAATTTGTCAACCTGGATTTTTTTTGTACTCAGAGAAATAAAAATAAAATTCCAACAAATTTAATGTTAAACTATGACTTCGATCGATTCATTATAATCATTACCTAATTCTCATATCTTCCAATTAGATGCTTGTTAAAATCGTTAAATTCCGCTTGAACAAAATAATAAGCATGTAAACAACCATTAGCAAGGCTTCAAGACGAGAAAAGCAGAGATTAAATCAGGATATGGAGACTTAAAGAGATACATAATGATATTTTATTCTTGCAAGGACTGTCAGAGAATCAGCAAGGAGATTTGAATATTAAAAATATGACATGTTTTCAAATAAAGCTTTGTTTAATAACAATGATCATGTGTTTGAACTACTGTGATATAATTAAATGTATTTTAGGAATTATATGGATTTTAGCTAAAGACTCTACAGAACACAATATAAAATCTGTAAGAAAAAGAGGGAGAGAAATAATAAGTGTGATTTTGTGAGTAAATGTTTAGTAAGATGACTACGTTTGAAACACAGGACGTATTAAAATTTTGTATTGGAGTGCCGATGATCTTTGTTAATATGGCAGCATTATATGCCTTGTTTCGAAGCAAACAGATGGCTTTTCAAATCCGATCGTTTTCCATGAATCTGTGTGTTGCAGATATCATGAGCTGTATAATGATGTCATTTCCGGACGGACTCTCTCAGTCTGCCCTGGGAAAGAATGTGAAAAAGTGTCTCTTTCTTTTGTTTGCCACTGTTGCTTTGGTAACTATTACTTACTTCAACTTCGAAAGACTGTTTGTGCTTAAATTTACCAACACTTACAAAAGATTGATATGTGAGAAAAATGTCAGAATACTCTGCGTTGTTTCTTGGGTTTTGTGTGCCGTGTTGTTCTTTTTACAGGCTTGCTCTCTTGAAGAAAAATCTTTCTGTCTTGGAATGCCGTTTGAGATCTCGCTATTCGTGGATTACGTCCGATTTTCGATATTTTTGTCTAATTTCTTTGCTTTCGTAATAATTATGCATCATATCAGAATCAACATGGCGGGACTGAAGGCCAAGACTAAAACATGGAATCACACAAATACATTGAGGAAAATATCCGCCATAACTGGTACATTTTTAGCTTCTTACACCCCAGGGTTGTTTTACACAATTCTTAAACCTTTCATAAAAGATGCAAAATTGAAGGAAAGTCTGGATATCACAACCGGGTCGTGTTTTGTCGTTGCTTTTGTCCTTGACCCAATTTGGTATATTTTGCGTTTTAACGAGTGTCGATTTCAGTTGAAAAACTTAAAAAATATTTGTAACAGAGAAAAATTCGAAGAAGTTAATATGGACAGAAAAAGACTCTATGCTACATATCATATCGATGACCATTTGAATGTCAAAAATAAACATATTAAATTAATGTAGACTCATGCAGGATATGGAATCTTTTCAAACATTCCTTCCGCCGGAACAATTCGTACTAAATGATGCTAATTACTCATGTGAGAGTAACCGAATAAACATGTTAAGCAGCATGACCAAGAACTTTCAGAAGTTTGAAAAACAACATGGAGGCAGTAATCATGTGACATAGTATCTGATTTACGGAAAGGTGATATGACAATTTTCTTTACAGTATATAAACGAACAATAATTGATTGATTTGAAATATATGTTATATTCTGAGATTATTCACTGCCTTTATCCCATTTTTCCTAATTCCTTTTTCTATGTACATCTTTACAAAATAATCATAAGTACATGTAGTAGAATATAAAAGATTTTAACATACACACACATTTTTATCTGATAAACTTCGTACAGGTAACGATAGATCTATGAAAATTTGAGTTTTCTTCAGATATTCTAGTAGAAGTAGTCTTGGATGGGGCGGAACTACAATCATTACTACTGTATAATTATTTTTTTTCTTTTTAAGAAATGCACCGATAAGTGCAGCACTATATGTTTCTTAGAAAGTGGTTCTCAAGTAGTGATGGTATGAATTTAATGCAACAACAGTTTCTCGAAATGATATCACTTAAATATCTCGAAATACAGCTGAAAACAGATAGTCAACTTGAAGGACTTAATATGTTCATGTATCATAGTAAATCTTATAGTCAATCTCTCCAGACAAGCCCAGGTAAATGTTCGCAGCCAAAAGTGTATTGAACCGAGCAACCTTTGACCTCCAGGACTTTATCTCAGGTCACTTCCTGATAGGCTGAGACGATAAATTAAGGAATAAAATTGTAAAATTATAATTGTGTAATTATATTTATCACAGAGTTGATAAAAATAACTTTTTAAATAAAATCTCTTTGCAATAGGGCTACAAAGTTTAAAACTTTAAAAATATCTATCTATTTTAAAGAAATTTTCCTCCAATTTGTTTTAGGAACCATAAAATATTTGTAGAAAAACTTTAAGAGCCCTAGAGAATATTTCTAAATTCAGCATTGGCTGTTTCATACTTTTGTCGTGTTAAGGACATACGCAACGTACCTTACCTACTGATAATTTTTAAAGATATTCTTAATTTAAGATTATAGTGCTATCAGATGTTCTTAGACAAAAAATCAGCTTGCATTACTAGGGGTTTTGAAAAGATATCAGTTGATGAAAATTCTTGTATAATTCAAAGAAAAATATACAAAAATTACTAAACATATATTCTAGATGTTTTGTTTATCCAAATGTGCTTTAGAAGAAATGTACAACAGCATATATAGACATTAAAATGTAGCACACAGTTCCTTTAAGTATTGGAACTCTTCAACTCCAGGGAAAAAGGCAATAAAGTTCAAACTACATTGCGTATGTCCTTAAAAAAAGGAAATCTCTTAGCTGACAATACACATTAAAATTTAAGATGAAAAAGAAGAATGCGATTTTTATTTGTTTGTGCACAGAATATCCTTTGAATTATATATTACATAGGTGATACAGATGTACATGTATTTCCATATATAACTACAATCATGCATACAATGACTGCACAATATTGGGTTGCTTATCTTAAGATTACGTCACGTCTATGATCCATGAGATACTAACAGACGGTATTTTCTGTTCTTGGCCATTTCTACACAGAAATCAAATAAGGTAGGTTCAGAGCACTGCGCATTTTTGAATTGAATTCTAAAACAATAAATGAAATTCATACGCAGGACTATTTTTCTCGGTAATTTTGTGTCTATAGATGTTCAAGTACCTCGGAGTGTTTTGTATGTGTTTCCTGCTCAGTGGAGTCCAGGGCAACTTTCTGGACGACCTGAAACATTTTGGAGACAATGCCCTGCATAGCGCTTTGGACACTCTGAGTACTGATGGCGTCAAAACCTTGGTGTCGTCTGCTGTCAGCGCCGCTGGAACGGGTAACTAGACAATTACTGTATCACACACACACACCCACAAAAATACATGTCTTTTTTTGTATGATTACTGTCAGCAGTAAAATAAAAATACGAAGGAGACAAATTTAAAACACATAAATTGTTACACTTTATTACATTATTATTATGAAGGAGTATGTTACTTTGAATTTTTACTCTCAAATACATGAAAAGAAAAGGACATTGCGAGACGAAAAAGTTATAGGATACAATTTTCACAAATATTTAGAATATTAAGCTTTAGAAAATTTTAGCTTAAATGTTTCTTAATAAATATTTTCTATTACAATGTTCAACAGAATGAACAACAATAAATTTTACGTTTTATCTTTAAGCACTCCTGTCTTCTTTATTTGGAAAGAGAGAAACCGCGTAAGTTAAAATAATCTTCTGTAAATCATTAAAATAATTGATAAACTCTATTTCCTGCAAGTAGAGAGAAACTGCGCAAGTTCAAACTATCTTCTGCAAATAATTGATAAAATCTACATAATTCCTGCAAGTATATTAATATGTTCATTACACATGTAATTAATTAAAATATTTCTTTTATCTCCAAGTGACGAGATGAACCAAGCCTTGGAGCTTTTGAAACAGGAATCGGAAAAAGTACGCCAGATTTTCCACAGTTATGGCGGCCAGTTACAGACTGTGTACGACAAAATTAAGGACCTCAGCTTCCTAGAAAATAATGCCCCAGAGTTCCTGGATAATATCGCTAAACTCAAGGGTACAGTTTAAAACAAATATCAATCTTTTAAAAATCCAGCTGGATCATCCTTTTCTGGTTTTTTTAAAGGGCCTTTGCTTGATTTTTATTCGATTTAATGATTAAGTTCACTATTTTAAACTTTTAATGGAAATAAAAAGTATCGCTCAGAGAGTTAAATTATATTGAATTATGTTTAGGCACGTAAATTTAAATTTTGCTGTGGATTATCTGGTATAGTGTAGGAGGCAGATGTTGACCAATCAAAACGAAGTATTAACATTTTGTAATGTACTTGTACTTTATCTAGTGTGTTATCTACCCTGCAGCATAACAATTTTGAAGGCATTATTTTTCATATTTTGATTAATTAAAGATTCAAACTTGCATACCTTAACAGGTAATGTACTTAATTTTTTAGGCCAGTACAATGCTGTTCTTGATAAGATTGTGGCAGACTTTCACCAGAAGATGAGTGAGATTCATCACTCAAGAAAGAGGGGTCTACTTGACGGTTTCGCCGCAGCTTTCCAGAGTACTGTCGAAAATCTCAAACAGGTTAACTAGAAAATTTTATTCATGTCATATATAAATAAAAACTGTCAAATGAAAAACCACTAGGAAATAAAGTGCCAGCACGAGTATCAGCAGAAGATACAAACTATGCAACAATCCTCCACGCAAAAAAACATTTGAAATCTTATTTCACTGACGAAATGCAAATTGCATATTCAAAAAAGAGAGAAAACTGATTTTGTATGAATACAATTTAAAATCGTTACAAGAAATAAAAGACATCAACAAATGGAAGTACAAGAAATTAAAACGAACATTTTTAAATAATGTTAAGAGGGCTGAGTGGTTGTGGCCATTTTCAGACTATATTGATCTCCTTTAGAAGAAGAGCTCCATATAAAGATATACAAAAATGATTAAATTTTAAAACTAAAATGTATGAAATTTTTGTTTGCCAAATGATAGTTGACAGCTGAAGATATCATATCTAAAAAATTAAGTTATATCTGATGGTTAATTTGTTGACCCCCCCCCCCCGCCTCCTTAATTTGATTTTTTTTTTAGCCTGAAACATACCTGCCAGACAAATTTAGACATCGTGAAGTACATTTACATTCAATCATAAAAATTGCAATCGAAACGCGTTTGTTTCTTACAGACCTTTGGTGGTGTTGCTGACCTTCTGCACGGAGGCGGAAGTGGCCTTCTGACCCAACTGACCCAGCACCTCACTGGAGCCACTACTGGTGTGGGAACACAGCTGTCCAGTCTGAAGGAGACCGCAGCCCAACTGCTGGCCACTGGTCAAGAGACACTTCAAGGCGCCCATGAAACTGGAACCTCTGCCCTCGGTAAAAACTTAATGGCTATTTGATTATATATTAACAAACGGTGTTGCCTGCTTGTGCAGCATAAATATTATTTCTCAGAGAAGACAAGCCTCTGATATATGTATGTATGAAATTCTTAACATGCTACTTTGTTCTCAACGGCGGGAAAAAGGGGCATGCCACTTTGGTTCTTCGAAATTTTTGTTTCATTTATCTTATGGCAGTAGTGTATAGAAAAACTCTCACAAAAGCTATCCCACAGAGACGCACGTTTGAAATTTAAAATCGTATCACGGTTGGCGGCCCTTAATGAGGTGTGCATATAAATTGTAATTTTATGTCAATAAAAAGGGGCATCTGTGACAGTGCAATGTAAACAAGAGGCTCATAAGCCACAACACTCGCCTGAGTCATTAACATAAAGTCGATTTCAACGATCTGAATTTTTCAGCGTTGAGACTTGGGGTCAAATTTTCAAATTGAGGCCCTAATGTTCTTGCTGCACTTTTTCTTGGGAAAAAATTAAGTCATATACTTTACCATGCTATCCTTTTGGAGACGTGATTTGAAAAAAAAATTGAATTGCACTACACATTGATGCTTACGTTACGTTCAAAACTTTGCATTATCATTTGTCTTATCTTGAATGTACACCACATAGAAATGTTTACAATTCAATACACATAATTGCAGTCTCATTGCAGTTTTCTTTGCAATTGACTTTAAAAACAAGAATCCTCTCTACATCAATTGAAAAAGAGGAATCTTCACTTTTTAAGAAACGTTAAAGTCCATTCTTTTCTGGCTTCTGGTCGTAAAGATTTGTAGGTCACCCCAATCATTCAAGTTATGATCATTTTAGCTTCTCCTCATGAACGACTGAACCAATTCCAGTAAAAAGTATTTCTGGGTAAAGGGAACATAAATTGTGAAAAATAAAATCCGTGGGCTCTGCCTCCTTGGGGACTGACAATATGCCAAAGCCATAAAAATTAATGCAATCTTTAAAACTCTTCGTTTTCCACCTGAACATAAAGCAGGCAAACTGTTGATATAATGAACTCTTCACCAAAATTGTAAATTTGTGGTCCCTGAGTTCAGGATTTATGCTCCGAAGTGGGCTAAGTTGGTCATAGATCAAAATCTGTAATTCAATATTCTTTATTCCCGGACTTCTATGAGACAAGCTGCATGAATAATATTATAATAACGAGTATAGAGTTGTCACCAAACTGTAAAATTTTGTCATTTAAGGCCAGAGTTGCAATTCCAGGTGGGGCTAAAGTGATCATAACCTGAGAAACTCAGGTGACCATCAAGGCCCATAAGCCTCATGTTAAATGACCCCACCCTATTTACAGTATATCTTAATTATCATTCTCTGTGGTCCCCCACATGAACAAACTAATATCCTTACCAAAGGATACTCTATTGCAAAATTGATTGAAACTAGAGACGAAAAAAGTGTAAAGTTTTCATACAAACATACAATGGGCAATTGTAGATTAGAATAGTTCACTTGAATTGTCTGGCACAGGCGAGCCAGAAAGATAATCAAACATGCTTTAGTTAGATAATATTGTACACCACTTTCGGTATCTTTTATGTACAGGACAACTCCACAGCGGTTTGACTGGGGCTGGATCACAACTTGTGGATACACTATTGCACCCCGCAGGCACAAAATAGACATCAGTTTACATTATAATTAAATGAAGTAGTAAATATTTCAAAAAGCCAAACTGTTTTTTTTTTTTATAATAATAGGAAGCTACATGGAGCCAATGTTTCTGAATATCTCCTCACAAAGATTTTGAGATCTTTGAATAAAAAATACTTGTGTTGAAATACATAAGAACAAAGCGTCACGTTTTAACTTTTTTCTCAGAAATTTTCCATATGTGTATGCTTTATTAAATGTGGTGGTGTTGACAGGTTGAGAGAACGATAATTTTTCGAAATTTAGTGTTTCGAAACTTGAACGTTCTTTTAGTTTTATCTTTTTACCATTATGGGACACTGACGACTGCAAATATTGACGATTTTAACTTCATTTGTCAATGTTTCCGCTTTGTCAGCATCTCCATGTTTACAGGGAATATAAAAATAAAACACATTAAATGTTCTTTATGTATTTATTTTCTCAAGAAAACTCTTGCATAGGAAACATTATCCATTTCTTCAATAGAAAAAGACGTAACATACTACATGTATATCTATTTTGTAAACATTACTCTATGAATAGGTTTATAAAAATAAGCTTAAACAGGAACACAGCCTTATACTTCTATCATTTACAACACTTAACAATTATCAATTAACATAACGCATATCTTTGCAAGTAATGGGAGGCCATTCAAACTCTTGTGTGTATCAGATATTGAAAACAAGTGACCAATCAGCATGTAGCGGATGGTATATCCATAATGCAATGTTTTAGTTTTCTACAGTTTCTATTTGGTGTGTGATGCAATAGGAATGTTGAAAGCTATGAAAAGATTTTTTTCCTTTTATCTAATGGTGTCATCATTTTAGTCGAATATCCTCCTTTTATCTTTATAGAGTTCAGCTTCTTTTCCTATAAAAACACGGAGCTTATCTCTCTCTCTCTCTCTCTCATTCATGCTACATTCACAGACCTACCTTGTAAACGCCAAATGAATGTGATCAGTAGTTTTCTACCAGTTTAGCCACAAAATTTGGTTATTATGCAGAAAATTGACTTCTTTCAATGCAGAAAAATTTCACTGAATTCATATTTAACAAATTATGCATCGCTTTAATGGCAGAAAACACACCTGAGTATGATACTTGACATAGACATGCTGACACTGGGCAATTACACGAGAAACAGGCTCTCAAAAATATTTCAATAGCTTCCACGTTTGTCTATAGCAGTATGTATGGTGATTTGTGTGACGATTTTCAATCACTCAAGTTTCTGTACCGCACAATTTCTATTATTATGAATTTAAAACCGAAAATGATTAGAATCCAGAAATCGGGAGATTTGACATCGTAGAACGTATTTAGGGGGTCAAAAATCATAGAAATTATGGGTAAATCGAGATAGTAGATAGGTCTGCACTCATACATAAATACCTTACTTGCTGTTGCTTTCAGCTATTTTAGTCTTACTTCAAAGGAAATAGAGCTTTGACATAAAGGAGATGGCTAAAAATTATGTTATATATCATTGTTCAAAAATATTGACTTGCAAAGATGAAAAAAAACGTGGAACCAAGAAAAAAAACAAAACAAACAAACAACCATTGCATTCTATACAGGAATGCCATAATGCATGACAAATTAAGCAAATATACATCAAGATGATAAATAACAATTTTAAGAACTTGAAAATTTTCTATGCTGTATTTGGAACAAATGCCTTGGTAGAAGGATATGAAAAGAAATGCCCTGTGACGTCATGGGAAAAAAGCATATGACAAAATTATGCATTCAAAGCGCATGAAAATTTACTGAATGTAAAACATATATTGCTATGTAATATTAACTTCATAATGATAAAAATCAAAAATCAGCAAAAAAATTCCATAAAATAACATACGAAAATACCAATCTTGGCCACAGAACACTGCAAGCAACGTCATGATTTGCGAAATAAAACAAAATTAAAAAAAAACAATATTAAGAAAACAATCCCTATATTTAAAACTTTGATTTAAGCAAATGCCAATGTAAATAAGTTTAAATCACAGAACATGAAATACTTTTGAGACAACCAGTGCGAGGTCAATTTTTAAAAGGTTACACTTCACGTAGAGACTAGAGATTACATGTAGATATTTTCAGCCTTTTTGTTCACAACTTCGTAACCCTGAGAGAAGTGGCGACTTGAGAAAAGTCTAATTATCACTACCCCCACAAATGTTCCCCTATTACTTAAACATACATGAAAAGAAAAGCATGAAAGACATCGCAGACTTACCGAAAGCCCTCTGGGTCTATTAATGTTCGATACTAAATTATGGGAAATTATACCGAAACACACAAAGAACAAGTGACTTATAGGCACTTGTCTCACAATAAATGTAAAACTATAATTCTAATCTACATATAATTGTGCCCTAAAATTCTTTAAAAATACATTTTATAAACGTGAACGCAATGTGCAGGAAAATAATGTGCAAGCTTATACTACAGTTAGAATAGTTCTGAATGGTACTAAGCCGGCTTGGATTTTTCTGAACCAAAGCAAAAGGCTGCCTTTTTGTGTCCTCCACCTGATTACCGGAACTGCAGTCCACACGATGCCATTTTGACAAGCCGTACATGTAATGTGTCGATAAACCCGCCACTATCACCATACCTCACATTTTGTTTGAGGACTGTACTCTGATATAAAAGGACAGTCAAAAACTTTCCCAAAAGTGTTAGAGTTCTGCAAGCTGCCCTTCACACTAATGGAAAAAAAAACTTAGGCTTAATACCGTTCTTTCTAGAATTCTAAATCAAATAAATTTTCTTTTGATTGTAAAGTTCTTCTATTTCAAAAAATCTCGTTTTTTAATTTATTCCTTAAATTATAAAGATTTAAATCAAAATTAAAGAAAAGAAAGCCAAAGATTCCTCTTACCGCAATGGCCCTGGGGAATGATCATCACTTAATAAATAATTCCTCAGACCCGAACGTTTCCACTTAGTACAGAACATCTAAACGTAAAAATATTTATTAAATATATATATAATTTGTAGCTATTATAGCATTCTGGAATCCACAACTTTTAAGAGTATGACCAGAATGGAGAAACTTAAGTTACCTGAGCATAACTAACATAAAACAGCTGTTTATCTGTCAGATTTACACCTGGAAGGTTCGGTGTTATCCCATTTTCATTTTCCCAAATTTGAAATGCCTTAAAAGACAGAAAAGATAACGTGTCATATGTTGTTTGATGACATAACGATATCGAATGCATTAATAAAGAGTAACTGTAGACACATCTCACTATATAAGCAGCGCGTAGTCCTCCATTATCGGCTATGTTTTCATCCAGTGTTTTCTGGCCATTTATCTAAAATAAAAATATAAATTAAAATAAATTAAAATAAATAAATAAATAAAAGTATTTCTGGAATATTTGCCGTTTGCAAATTGTAGTTTTTCATTTGAAGCCTTTTTAACAAAAATAAAAAAGTGCAATTGATGTACTTGCAGTACCATCGTGAGTAAAATTTTGAGGAAGTTTATTCACGTCTGAGACTGTCATACCCGGATCGCAATTCTGACTTGTATGATATAGATGTCCTAAAGAAGTGTTTACTCTCTCAGATGGAAATGGCTTCTATTATTTTACTCTGAAATAGCATATATGTATGCTTTAAATCACTGACCTGTAGACCGTCCAGCGTGAAGCCGTCATACTGTTCCCTCATACATCCAGTGGTCTTCTCAAACAGAGAGGCCGTGTAGGGCTCCCACCATTCTTTAAGTTTCCCCTTACTGTCATACTGACGTCCTAAAACGAGACATAATGACCTATATTTTACTATAGGGTTCATTCTACCTACTATCACTTTTTAAAAATGGTTCTTTCCACCTATTCCCACCTTTAAAAATCAGGTAGAAAAAGGTAATGATTTACTGTATAAATGCATTCATTTTCTTTTTCTTTAATGCAAATATTGTAGAGAAAAAGTGTAGTCCCAAAACGTACTAGTACTGAAATGAAATGCAATTAACATAATAAACCCGATTGCTATAAAATAACAAATGGACTGAACTATTAAATCATCTAATAATACTTAGTTATCAAATAGGAATAGATGGAATTGTGATTTTGTGGGAATAGGTGGGGGACATAGAAGACACTTACTATAAAAGCAATATTCTTAGGTAATCCAAATATCAAAATGCCTAACAGTACTAAGAGCCGAGCTCATTTACAAAGTGAGTAGTGACTCTATTAAAGGAAACATAAATAAACTAGTTCTATTTGTAACGGAGACCGTTACAGATGTTCCCCAAACGCTCCCTCTACTCCCTTTGGGACCCCTTTCCCTATATGATTCAACAAATTAAGCTTGTATTATAGACTTTAAGAACTTATTTTCAAAAGTATTTTGAAGAAATAACAATGCAAATATAGCACAGTGGGCATAAGCAAATCAGATTTGAGTATTTAATTTCGGAAATTACCATTTACATGTACAAAAACTGATAGAATGCCATAATAAAAAGCTCAATTTAAATTTCAAAGAATTTCACTGAAAACATAGAAAGTTCCAGCAACATGAATATCCTCATATTCATTTCTGATGACTGAATAATGTAGGAACTTGAATTATTTGCATATACTCTGAATTTCATCTTTCTATCATTAACAATTAAGAATGTTATAAAGACTAACAACCTTAGCCAATCAGATTTCAGCACACGTGCTTGCGCGTATTTTCTAGATTTCTCATTTATCTTCTTATAGTGCCTTACAACACATGCCAATGTCTTAAAATTTCAAAGAATTCTATTGAATCATTCAATAGTGAGAGAGATACAACCCATAAAGTTTTAGCAAATCAGATTTCAGCACACATGTATGCACATGTCCTTGCATTCAATTTTCATAGAAGTATAATGTAGGAACCCATTATAACTATCTATATTCTAATTTTCATTCTGTTTTGTTGAAAACTAGAGATGTTTCGCCATTTGATTTTTTAGCCAATCAAATTCGAGAACACGTGCATGCGCGTGTTTTCAAGCATTTCTGTATGACACATATTGTTGAACCTTACATATTAGCCATTCAGATTTCAACGCACGTGCATGCCCATATTTTCTAGATATTTCACATATTTCCTCGTAAAGAGACTCACAAAAAATACTTATGTGTGAAATCTGAAAGATTTCCATTGAAAACTGTGAAAGAAAGAGCCGTACAAGTATTAGCCAATTAAAATTCAGCACAGTGCATGCATGTTCTTGCTTTCAATTTTGATAACAGCAAAATGTAGGAACCCATTATACCTATCTACAATCTAAATTCCATACTTTTTTGTTGAAAACTATGAAAGTTACGGTTGTCTAGAGTTTAAGCCAATCAGATTGCAGCACACGTGTATGAGCGTGTTTTCATGATATCTCAAATATATCTTATTGTAGAACCTATTAAGAGCCATTCTCTGTAATGACTTGAACTTTTATATAGGAGCTGTGGCACGCATAGTCTCAGAATTTCTCCAAACTCTCTATGATAAAAGTCTTTAATACCGTAAACTCAAATCAGGCAAAAATTGGTTGCTACGTGTCATGGTTACCATAGCAACGTGTCCTCAAGTTTGAAAAATGGCATTTTTTAACATGTTCAGAATCCCACAGTTAACGTTTGCAGCAAAGCAAACAAGTGGCAATGACTGTTTCTGAAAGTTGAAGGCCTGGTGTCTTAAATGCATGATAAACATGTTTGGTAAATCAACTATTATATACGTTACTATGGAAACAAAGTATTCAAAAGTAATAATTTTGTTCATTTAATTTTAAAAAAGTCATACACTTCAGAATAAAAACAATTATAGGTTGAAATGCAAGCAAATAATAGACAAGAGATCCTTGTAACATGTACCAAGGACAAAATATGATATTTCCCGTAGGTTGGCAATGGTTACCATGGTTTTAATACCACGAAGGGATTTTAAATTTACTCTCTTAGTGTTTTAATCTTATCGTATCTTTTTAAAAGGCATATTTCTATATAACTGATGATCAATTTTTAAAGGCGTTGGTGTGACCCTTATTTTCACATTTCAAAAAATTCAAATTCAATTCTTTAAATAGAGCGTTGCTATGGAAATAAGGCGAAAAAACATGCATAAAAACCTGGAAAATATTCTGTTTCCTTGGATACGTACCCTTGTATGTAGATTCCCAAAACTTTAATGATTGATATATATGAACAACTAACCTGACTTTCAATTTTGACTACCACCCAATCTCTAACTGGATGCAAAAAGCTGGCACATAGGGTTTGACATAAAATTAACAAAATCGAACATTTTCTCTTCTTGGTAACTATAGCATTGACACATGGATCATGAATTTCAGAATTTCAGAATTTTAGAAGAGGGCACCCTTGTTCATCATAACCATGCATTTAGTTTGTCTACTAATACCCAGTGACAGTGATTTTTAAAGAATTAAATAAATGCATTTTCACAATAAATCAATAAAGCCCCACCCTACACCAAAACCCCTGACCCAGGGACTGTGAATTTCATAATTTTGGAGGAGACACCCTTGCTCATCATAACCATGCACTTAGTTTGTCTGCTATATATACAGGGTGAGAATTTTTCAAAGAATGGATGCATTTTCAACAAACTTTATCAATATATGATATTAAACTTTAGTTCTACCAGATAAGTAACTATTCAAGGTGAGTCAAATAATATGTTTCTTGATTAAAAGGTAAGTAAATGCCTAAAGCAGCAAAAAATATCACTTTAAACAACTAGTATGTTGTTTCCATGGTTACACTGCAAAGTAACAATTAATCCCAATTTTTCTTACGTTGTCGGTGTTGCAAGGTCCTAAGGATGTATATGTGCCAGTCATGAATTTTATTGTTTTTCCTCAAGATAGTAGCATTAACCCAATCATAGCAACAGATTTTGCACGGTAACACTGTGTTACCATGGCAACCATGAAGGTTATATTTAGAATAATATTACCAATACCTAATTACTTAAGGTCAAATATTTTTCATTGTTTTTCTTAGGTTGTTGATTGAGTTTGACCATGTAACATCTATCATTTGTGAATATTGAGCGTTTTCAGCATTTTTTAGCATCTAAAATGTATTCCAAATGTACCCATGGTTACCACTTACTTAGAGATAAATTCTAAATAGTTTCTTTATAGCATAAGTGGCAACAAGGTGTCATGTTTTTGGGAAAATGATTTGTTTGTTTTTCTTAGTCTTTATTAAGGCTCAATAAAGATTCAAGGTAGCTGAAAATCTCAATTTGTTCAACTTTTCTGGCTGTTACCATGGCAACCAAGACATATAGCAACGAAATTTTAATTGATATATGTTTCTGGTGTCAAGTTGTAATAATGGGCAAAGTTTCATCAAAATCGGTGACCATGCGTGGCAGAAGTTTAAGTGGTTACAGAGAATCGCTATTAATGTGTGACTAGTATATTTCAAAGAATCTGGGGGAATAAGACAAGCCATGTGCCCATGCCCATTTTTCGGCTATGCAAGAACATTTATTGGAAAAAATCTCTCAATTGTTCGAATTTACTTAAGCATTTTAATGTTTGCAGTAGTTCTCAAAATGATATTTATATTCTAAACAAGCTAAACAGTTGACTTTCATTTACTGTCACAAGTGTCTAACATGGGTAGGGACTTCTATTAATTAATCTGCATATTGAGTGTTAACACTTATCGTGGAGAAATTATAAAAATGTTAACGTTGTATATAATGATAGTGGTGATCTAGAAGCGCTAGTAGTAAAAATAAATAAAAACGGGAATAAAAGTATTCAAATATCTATTCTAATTTTTATCCGGCATTCTAAATAATTTACTGTAAATGAGTTCATTACTCTCTCTCTCTATATATATATATATATATTATTTCCAGTGAAAAATATGTTATTCCTATAGACATTTTTTATAAAGTAAAACAAAATTAACCCTCTTCCAAAAAATAAAAAATAAAAAAAATCATGACTCGAACACTTTCCTCAATAAACTCCCCTTTAAAGAGCTCCTCGCTAACCACTATACCACGGAGTCACACATACATACCCATTTAAATAGCATACAGTTCTCCATATTTAGCAAGCGTATTTGGACTTAGAATTTTTTAAGACCACGGTGAAAATTTAAGTAAGTTTACTTAATTTTTTATGTAGAGTGGGTCTTCGTACCAAATTTTTGCAAGTATAAAAAGCAACATCTTTCCATTGCCTTTCATTAATCGTTCTCAAAAATATGGTACGATGACCCAGTCTATTTAAAAAATGTAGTTATATCATCCAATTTATGTCAGTTTTTGTGAAAATTGAGCGTGATGCCATTTTTTTGTGTTAATCAGAATCATTTTCGCTGTTACAGTATTCAGGTTTTGTCAAATTTGTATCCAAATGGTAATAAGCATTACACTAATTCAACAAAAAGTGAAATTTTTTAAAAATGAATTTACTGATTTTTTATCGATCGTTATGTAGGCATATGGCTCGGCTTATCCCCCCAGTTTCTTTCAGAGTATTTTATCAAAAACAAGAAAGATATTGAGATTTCTGTTTCAACCAATCAGAGCGAAGTACACGTGTATGCACGCCCGTTCATGCCTATTTAACAATATCATCTTGTGAATACTACTAAGATATATTTATATTCCGAGTTTAAAATCATTTATTCAAAACAATAAAAAAAAAGGGACGTTCAAGTTTTTTCAATTATATCAATCATTTCACACATCGCACGCGCCCGCACGTGCATGCATGTGCGCGCAAAATGACCTTCGTTCCGCACATCTACACAAAATGCCTGTTAACCCTTAGAGGGGTGAGTCGTTTCCGAGAACACTCTCGAACAAAAAAGTGCCGGTCTGCCGCCGCGGGAGAAGAAATTTAGAGAAAAGAAAGTAAAAAAATATAATATGTTTCCAAACTTCGTTTGGGGAACATAATTAGAATCAGTCTAACAGTGTTAACAAAGTTTGGAACATTATACCATAGTCCGAATTAAACAGGGTCTGAATTAACCTGACATCTTCGGAAGTAAATATTGACGCAGACAAGGGGACCTTATCAAAACCTTTTGCATCTCTTTTTAACAATTATCAGTCAATTTAAGAACATGGAAGAATAGGCATTACCATTAATGTTTATTTTCTTTTTTAAGAAATCCTCAGTACACTTTTCTTAGGTTGGTTTACCGTTTATATTTAGCATAGGCTCTAGATTTTTACACATTCAAACTTTAATTTGGCGCGCTGATGAGTCAGCATATCCGGTTGAACACCATGACAACGTTGCAGGTTCACGTATGTAATGTTCATTGAAAGGCTGGCTACCCCCCCCCCCCTCCCCCCCAATTTTTGTTTTGTTGCAGTATATCATGGAAATATGATAATGTATTATTAAAATTTGATTGTAAAAGGAAGTTGGACCCCCCCCCCCCCCCCCCAACAGGATTTTCGAGTTTTGGACAATTTTTTGGCTTGTCAAAGTTTTAACAGGTAAGTTGTCAAATTTGTTTTTCTGGATGGCCAACCCACTTTCAAAAATGATACTACGTCTGATAGGTAAAGTGCCTCGTAACCCAAATGACTACAACCTTTTGATTTCGATAATTCCAAAAAGTGACCCATTCTTCTTTATACATACACCTTAACATAAACAGAAATAACCTGTGATATCAAAGGCATGTGTTATTTCGTGTCCAATGACCGAGCCCATCGCTCCAAAGTTAAGAGCTCTGAAAAAGAAAAAAAGGAATTCATTTTAAATGTTCCTAGCGTAACATACAAGGCCATTCAAAGGCTTAAACACAGAAGAATAATCTTGTCTTACTGAGGTCCATTGGGAGAGTAGAACGGAAGATGAAACATGGCGATCGGAAACATGATGTCGTTCCTTTCAGGTGAGTAGTCGGCCTCCACCGTTACTGGTGTTTGCATCCAGCTGTGGAATTGTAAAAGGAAAAGATATACAAAAATCTAAACGCTGTAGAATAAGTAAAATAACACAGAAGCGGAATATTCATTTAATAATAATTTTTATCTATTCATAAATCATAACTTCCCAACATCATTTTCTTTCCAGAGCAGACGATAAAGCAAGAGCTTGATAAAGAGTAGAATCAAAGAACTGGAAGTATCCAAGGTTTTACATACCTGTGCCGATCCACAGTCTTATGATACATCTCAACGCTCTTTGTGACATGAAAGGTCTTCATATTCTTTATATTGTTGAACCAATCATCGCTTACCTCAAACTGAAACAAGAGTTCATCATTTTGTAGATTTTTTTTATGTTAGCTATAGAAAATTCCAAAAAACATTTCCACTTCACTTTTATAATTTTACTGACCTCCTTGTAGTACTGATCAAGGAAGTGTGATTTCAGGATTTCATCGGGATAACTAATCTTCTCTAACATTTCAGTTATCTGAAAACAGAGGTAAAATATGGACATAATAATGGGTAACGTTAATTTATGAATTGGTCCAATAGTTAATAAAACTTTGAAGTTCTTCTCAGATTTGAATTTATATGCATTCCTTCCTACTCACCTTTTCCTCAGCATGACTCCTCGTACTTGCGTCCATCCAGATTTTATCCAGAAGATAGTCTCGGAATGCTATTTTTATATCTCTTACTAGAGTTTGTAGCTGAATTAAATATGAAAGAATGGATGATTTACTTGCGATCAAGATCATTCATCACAATATCCTAGGAAAAGTTAATCTGCACTATAATCTTAAGAATTTTCACTGAATCTGAAATGGGGTGAGGTGGGGGAGGGTGTTTATGTAATAACTATCAAATGCAATAATGCTTTTGGTCATATTTACTATATCATGTTTGATTCCATTCCTTATTTTTCTTTTGAGTCTGAGCACTTGTTAAGAAAAGGATCAATCCACTTCTAGAAACATTTCTCAGAGTTTTCAGGTAACGTGTAAACTAATTTTATCAAGCTTCTTTACATAGTTTTTAACATTAATGACTCTCTCACTCTTTGTATGTGTATGTGTGGGTGTGTGTCCTAACCTTTTGAACTGACACCGCCTGCTGTGTTTCATTCACATACATGGCGCCTGTTACAAAACCAAATGCTTTATTTGTGTAGAAGGCACATCTTCGCCAGTGCTCTCCTTCATTTTCTACTTCTGCAAATTAAACGCAAAGTTTAATATTGTGAATAATGTGATCTTTCCCTACATTACACAGTTTACTTCTCCGTATGCTAAGATTCGATGAATTATATTTAAATTGTATCAGGGAGCAATTTTAAGTCTTCCTTTTAAATCACAAAAGAATATCAAAGTAATGTAATTTTTTTTATCTTGAAGCACTTGTATCATCAAAAATGGCACTGCCATTGAAAGTATTCTAAAGCATATGTTTCCCTTTTATTATATAAATAAGAACCTTCTTCAATATTGGCATCATCATCATTGAAAGTGCTGACGTCAAAATACGGTACAAAGGACCTCACTAGGTGCACCATTAGATAATGCTTCAAAACACTACAAGGAAAAAAAATAGAAAAAAATAATTAAAAAATATCCAATAAGCCTGAGATACAGTTAAAGAGAGAGAGAGAGAGAGAGAGAGAGAGAGAGAGAGAGTTACTTGATCTTGTTGGCATCTTTGATATAGGAGTCAACCAGGGAACACAGCTTGGTCAGCCCTGATTCATGTAGCACCACTACTTCTGTGTTAAGGTTGATGGTCACTTGAGACTTGAAGAGAATTCTTAACAAATACAGGTCCCAGGTAAGCTAAATCAAATAGGAAATGCTTTCTTTCATGAGCTGATCTTTACAACCATAATCAAGATAAAAAGGTCCTTTGAAAATTATAAATAACATTTTTTCCATTTCTTCATTTATATCTGGTATGAAATTGCAAATATTACCACCTACGTTGCATATATCAAAAGTAAATTTTATTATCATTGCATGGAGTTAAAAAGACTTTACGAACCATGGGACAATTGACCTGAAGGTCTTTGATTCTTGTCAGGGTGAATGTAGCTGATCTATTGTGGCTATGCTCTTCACTGTCACGTGTCTATAGACAAATAAATGGTAATTAGTTAATACGTTTAGAAAATCAATTTCGATGCCTCATGATTGATAACACAGAAAATGAAACTACAGAAAAAAATCAGTCAATATTTAAAGAATATGATATTTTTTCGCATAGCAGCTATTCATTTTGGTCTCAATAAAGACATTGTTGTTTCTAAATTATAATTATATTGGTCAGTATGGAAGTCTTTGCTACATCTGATTGGTGCAGTCTTTTAACAGTTGTTCCAGCGATTGGTCACTGGAGAGTTTGAACTATATCGCAATGTACAGTCTGTACCACTGACATCAATGTAATTCTCTGTTCTTGAGTCGAAAAAATCCAACAAATTGAATTAAAAGATACTAGTACTTTTGTAGAAGCTAATCAGAATTTAATTACCGGCAGTAGAGTAATTGTGAGATTATTCTCTTACCCATCCTATGTTTTTCTCCAGTTCCAGAAGATTCTGAGATAGAGTTTCTGCTTGCTCTTCCGTCTTGTTAAACACCACTTTCAATATTCTTTTTGTTTCTCTCATGTAATTTTTCACTATCTGCACATACATTTTAAAATCTCAGAAACATTTTACTTAAAACAATTTAACTTTCATGCACTGCACTGATATATATAATATTCTGACATTTGCGTAACTATTGTTAAAATTCTGATTCTTTTACTGCAAAGAATGCGGGTGTAGATTACTTTACTTCCATAATAATGAAAAAGTTTATCTACTGTCTTCCGCTCTGTATGAAAAATTAAGACAAAATTACTCTAGCAGATCTTGTTTCATTTTACATGTACTTCAAATGTGTCTTTTAGTGTGTTATCTTATTTTTAAAACCAAATACACAGCAACGGAAAAGTTTTAAATGTTTGAAAAAAAATATTATTTGAAGAGTTCCATGTACGAGGGGTTATCAAAAAGTTGGTGGACTGAGGCGATAAAATTAATACTATGTCGTCTGCACTTACAAAATTTATAAGGAACATAAAACAATAAAAGTTTAAGAAATGTTGAAAATTTTAGCTTTATGCGTTGATAATTTGCTAAATTATCATAAAATAAAAAGAGTCATTATATCATCAACCGGCGCTGTCGCTGTTTAATTTCATGACGTCCGATAACGTCATTGTTTCTCAATGTCCACTCTCTCTACCTCATACACTTATTTTGATGAGATTCCCTGGAGTTAAGTAACGACTTAAATCCGTCTTGTTTATATGACTTTACAATTTCATGAACAGCTGCTTTCAATGCAAAAAATATAGTAAATAGACCTATACATAGGGAAAGATTCTCACTTGATTATGCTAGCATATTTTGCTTGTCGGAGTTCAATATCTACCACACATGATCAACGTCACTTTTAGACGTGACTGAATTTCGACACCCTGACTACAAATTGACATTAACTGTGCATCTCTCATCTCTGTGAATCTTTTTTGGCATTTAAAAACAAGTACTCTGGATGCATTTTATTTCTCTGTAGCCCGTTTAAACATTTCCTAGATCTATGTAAAAGTTTTTCCAGGGGCGAAACTTTATAGAATGTTGGGAAAAAAATCCCTCCCTCATTTTTGACGTCATTTTCAAGCTCTTAATTGATTGAACACTTCATATAAAACTTACGATAAAATTTTATAGAACTTACAGAATGAGATAAAAATTGCAAATTTTACGTAACAATTTTGTTATACAACATTCCTGAATTAACGGGATTTTGGGATTACAATGCTCATGTCAAAAGAGTTTTTCTCATTTACTCACAGGTAGGGAAAAAAACGTCATGTTCAAAGTTGCGCCGCCTGGACATACCATTGCTTCCAAAAACATTAACAATTTATTAAAAAATTAAACTTATGATTTATTTTATAGATAGAAACAATGATGCTAACTAAATGTGTTAAAATTCATAGATGTACCTAAAGCGGTTTTGATTTTATGGCGCTTTTCCACGAATTTTTTGATAACCCCTCGTATACTATAAATCTAGAATGCTTAGGAAAGGCCATACACATAATTATAGTTACCTCATTGAGATCCCAGCTAAGGTAGGTGGGAGTGCGTTTCTGCAAACGTTGGGACGTCGGTGGTGGAGGGGAAGTTTCGTTGTTGTGTTGAGGCGCAGTATTAACTGTCGCGGGAGATTCGGACGGTTTTGGAAAGCTTTGGAATGGGTACTGGGAATACCCATAATCTATCTGTTAAAGATGAATTATAAAATGCTTAACTTTTTAAAAACTGCAATTTTCCGGTTTTTTTCAGGACTTTTATTTCCCCAGATATTCAGGAGTCATTCACCTTGACGACATTAACATCTTCGGAAGACACTTCATTGGGGCCGACAGACACCGTGAAGAGGGGCCAGGCGTCCAGTAGGTGGACTTTTTCTAGCATCACAGCAAAATTAAAGTCGCCGTCCGAAGAGACATTCCTGATGAGGTCTGTGAAGTCTGCTAACGTTTGAGATCGTCTTTGTCGACTCTCTGACATACAGCTTTTGAAAAACTGTTTTGTCTTCTTTCCGGAATCATAATTCACGGAACTACTTTGTTTTTCTGAAAAAAAAGTTAGTCTTTTATTAGAATATCGGCGGCGCCGTTTTAAATTGTTTGATAGCAGAAAATTATTTTAACATCAGAAAAAGTGCTTTCTTCCAATACTTAAAGAATCGATATTTGATATGAATAAAAATAGTCATTCTGATATCATAAATCTACATTATTGATAAATTACACTCTTGTTATAAAAAAAAAAAAACGACTGTCCACATCTCGTTTGAATACTATGGGACAATAAAATTAGATGTAAAAGCTAAAATTTTCCCTCAAATTATAAAAGTAAAAGTCACCATTAATTTGATCTTTCTTAGAGTACACTTATTACAGTACAGACGACAGTAATTCAGGCATAAACTATAACAATTTCCCTGTACTTCCTGTTCTAAACTTCCTACGATTTGATGTTTATGATTCACACCGGTTCTAATTGGAAATGATCATCTGCGACACACGCAGGGTGCATTGTACAAAGAGGAATTAAGTTGTCCGTAATTACCCAGAATGCCTTTGAGATGATGTAGATTAATATAAGACAGTTCCTGTATCCGGTCCCACATGGAGTAGCCGGGGGGAATGGGCGTGTCCCGTTCCCACCCTCCACACGCGTACTTATAAAAGTCGGTACACGGATTCACAGACTGATCCATAGATTTCAGAATAGAACCTGCTGCCAGGATACATTCTTTGGTTTCACAAACAAACCGAGCGTCTGAAAGATGTACGGTATACATAACAAATCATATGTTATAGAAATCAAAATAAGCTACATACATGTATAAACATAAAATGGCAAGGAGTGGTCAAAAGTCGTAAGGAAGGCTAAGGTCTTAAGATTTTGTACAGTTGACACTTTCCATCTTTTGTCAAGTTCAGTGTTAAAAAAAACTGTCCCATTTATTCTGATATAAATCTTCACAGAATTTTTTTAGTAAGATATATTGACTTAATGGCGAATGTTGCAAAGCGGACACTTTGCGTGTATTTAATGAGTACTTCAACATGCAAATGGATTCAATGGTCATATTTCTATAAAGATTTTTTTATTGCTAGATAACAGCATGCAGTCTGTAAAATACTTCTAGATCATCTGATGGCAGGCACACATTGAAGTGCTATTTTTGACTAAGTGTGTGCCGTTTTGTATTTAACTGTGTTATTAAGATGAAAAAAAAAATAGCTAAGTGGTTGATTTCATAATTAACTATGCATTCATAATTAAAACTTTAAAATTATAATGTTTCAATGAAATTAAATTTTCGTAAAATGCTTTCATAATTTTCAGTGCAGTCTGCTCATTCTTATTTTATGGTAATGCTTTTACACCTATGACACAGAAATATCGGCCCAGAGCAAAAACGGAAAAAAAAACAAACAA